AGACAGAAAACAAGTGGGTTTATGTGTGAATGATGGCTCAAGCTCTTACTGTAATACATGAGTTTCAGAAGCTATTTTATTTCAACATGATACTGTGCTGTTGTGACAGTTTTATGTAGAAAGAACATACTTTATACTTTCTTAACATCTTTTTTCAGTTTTTAAATACATTTAGACCATTGAAAAATAATGGGTTGTGTGACCATATGAGCTGAAGCAATACCAAGGTGTAACAGAAAAAAAAAAAAAAAAAAAAAAGTAAGAGAGGCCCAAAGCATTTGAATTTGTTAGGCCTGGTAGTGATACAAACTCACATATTAGCTTTGTGATCCTGTAAATGCTAATTTTGTGAGGCTCAGTTTCTTCATTAGAACATAGAAACGATTCCTTCTTTGCTGAGTAGTTGCAGAATGTGGGTAACAATAATGATAGACAGCTCTTAAAAGGTATATAGTACATTAAGTAAACAGATTCAGAGTCATCTATATTGTTAATATTCCTATTAACTGAGGCTTCGGCACAAACCTGTCTCCTGTACAAATAGTCCCTTTCACCTAAGATTGTGAAAGTGTTCCAGTGTGGACTTTGATCATCTACTAGGTGGTTTGTGTATGGTAATGTGGCTGAGAATTAGGGTTCACAGGCCCAGCTTTCCGGCTTGGGCTCTAAGTATTTAATTAAATGGCTATATATCTAACTATATAACATGGATAGGAATCTGAGGCCTGAATTTTGCTTATCTCCAAAATTAAGAATAGGAAAAAAAAAAACCCTGTTTCTTTGCTGCTGCACTGTTTTCCAATGGTGATGCCTTCTGACTAAGAGCAGATAATTTTCATTTCTTTATACCATAACCTACTTTCTATGGTTCAATATTAGCATCTCCTCTATTTTTAATTGAAAAGGCTAATTTGCAAGATTTTGAAAACAAACCAGTATCTCTATTATGGTTGAGTGACTTTCTAGGATACTAATGCAACATGTGTTAAGATAGTCTCATTGTTCCTTAATCTAGAAATTAAGTATTTTTATAGAAAGTAACAATTTTCAAAGCTTTAATTGCTTCTAGACCTCTGGTAATTGTATAAGATAAAATATACCAGACTTAAAGATAAGGGTAAAGTTTAACAGTAAAAAGTATAGTCTAGGAGTAAAACATACTATTGCTACATATTCTTTAGTTACATAAAGAACACTTAAATATTTTAAAAAATGAACTAACCAGAAGCAGAGCTTTAATAATTATTAACTACAAAGGAAATGAGCTTGACCTCATCTGAGAAGGTCGTCAGTATTCGCTCTGCTTATGGGAAATGTGTCCTAAATTCGGTGTAAATTTCAGAGGCCCAAGCTATCCTCAAATTCAGAAACAATGCTTTACTGAGAATACAATTAGGTTTACCTCACCCACCATCCTCTTCCACACAGTTCTTTTCATGGTGACACTTTGTAATTTTGTAATTATCTGTGTACTTAACTCATATGTTATTCTTTAATAGTTTATGAATTCAGCTCAGGCTTCAGAGATCATTTCTATATTCTTAATATCAAATACAGTTGAAGAATGAATTAATGATTTAATTTTTAGGGGATTTACCAAATATATTTACAACCCCTTAATTACACAACAGGGGTGTTAGTGAGCATGTCTGGTTCACAGGGAGTACGTAATAAATGTTAATCAGCATGGAGAGGAGAGAGAAGTTTGAGGAGTGCTTTTTGATGACCATATTTAGTGTTCTACTCTGGCATTCTCAAGTCATGGTCTCTCCTTCTTTGTAGGCCAAAGCTTCCACGGATATTTGTAAAAGTGGAACTGTTTCATCTTGTTGGGGCATAAAGACTTAGGTCATTAACTTTTTTACACAGTGATTTGGACTTCATGGTAAGAAGGGGAAGGCATGAGTGTGGTAAGATAGAACTGAGAAACTGGTCTTGGTCTAGGATCTGACTCTGGCTATAATAATAGAAAAGTCCTGATACTTCCCTCTTTGGATTGTGGAATTTCAGGATTAATAAAGGCAGTGGAAAATAAATTACCATACTTACTAATTATTTTAAAATTATTTAAGTTTACTACACTCCCCCCAAAACTGTTCTCTCCGACAACAGAGATACTCTAATACCATGTGCATACTGCTGGCAAGTCTGATTTCGATGTTCAGATTTCTGGCTTCATCCTCACGACTATAAACTAAATAACTACAAAAATTTCTAGCAGACCAATCTTTGTCAATCACTTAACAATCATGGCATTCTCATGTCATGGTCTCTCCTTCCTCTGTTGGTTAAAGCTTCCATAAATATTTGTAGAAGTGGAAGTATTTCATCCTGTTGGAGCACAAAGACTTAGGTCATTAACTTTTTTGCACACAGTGATTTGGACTTCAAGGTAAGAAGGGGAAGGTGCACAATGTTAAGTGAACCAATAAATTTGTCTATGAAGGCCACAAGCCACATTCAAGGGTATAGTATCAGACTATGTAGGGATAATGAAAAAGGTTTTATCTTGTTTTCAGATTACTGCTTTATTCATTAATTTTGGACTACCTGGTAAAAAGTAATCCTGTTTCAAACACTATGAAAATGAAATGTGTCCTTCCCAGAGGATTGCTTGCTGGAAGCCCAGGGTCCCAGTGATAGTCTTATGGCAGATCTACATGTTTACGGATGATCTGCCTTAGGGGGCAATGTGGTTTTCACAACCTAAACATACTACCTATGCCTCAACTTACTAGTTTCGAAATGAGGGGATTCCATGATTTTTTTACATTTCTTGCTGCTGTTATATTTTATGATAGTCTTTTGCACTTATATCAATTATACTTCAGTTTTCAACCAAAAATGTTAATTTTTATAAGAATCTTTGATGGTCTTAAATGTTATTCAGTGTGATAATAGCACATTGACTAGGCCCAAATTTTATCATTTTAGTTTTGTCTCAGCAACCAGATATTATGAGAACCTTAATTTGCATCATTGGAAGCAAATCTCACAAAAATGTAAAAAAAAGTTCCTTTAAGAAAAAATTTTTAAAGAGTGTTCGAGAGCTGACAAAAATGTTAGGTCACATGGATATGAGCTCTAAAAAAATACTGTAGTCTTATCGTATTGAGAATTGGTTCTGATGTCTGACTCAACAAAAAGAGGATCTGCTCACTGCAACTTCACAAGGTCCTGTCCTCCTAACCTAGCATCCATGGTACCACTTCCTTCACTTCCTTCAAACACAGTCTTCTGTATAGCCAGTGGCAGAGATGGACATGGCTAACTACTGTCCATCCAGGTGGATTTATCTTTGGAGTCAATTCTAATGCATAAGTAATTGTGCAGACCCCTGAAGACTATGGCACAGACAGAATGGATATTTATAAATAGATACTTTTCTTCTGAGTCAGGAAAAGAAGCGTAAGTTAGCAAGGTAATGGAAGAACAAGAGGCTGACTCCATGTCTGATATGAACAAAAGCATTGTACATGGCAAATTAATATCTTTCATTAGTGACTGCAGACAGGACATTACCATTTTCCTAAGTGCCAAAATCTGTTCCCGATGCCTCTTTACGGTAAGTAATTTCAAATTTCTGGCTTTTTAAAACTTTTGAAATTGTATTACAAACATCAGCTCTTTTATGTGTGTGGCTATCCATTACAGTGTTAAATATTAGGAATTAAAAAAATGAATGAGTCCCTGCTTTTAGAAACCTTACTGACTTCAGGCTTAAACTGTTGTAATTATGGCAAAATTAGCAACTGTTTCTTATTTATTGGGTGGGCTGTCAACAAACCCAAGTTGCCAAAGTTCCCTTGGTTTTATTCTCTCTCTCAAAAAAAAAAAAAAAAAGAAAGAAACAAAACAAAACAAAGCAAACAAACAAAAAGAACTTAACAGAACTCAGATAAAAGACACAGCCGTGCAAACCTCAAGGCCTGTCTTCAGTCACTAATGAAAGACTGGAACGAAGCAAAGTGAAAATGAAAGAAATAGTCTAACCCTCTGTGTGGGGCCCTGCACTGCAGAAACCAGGGTGCAGTACGGGCACCCCACATCCAGCATTGTGAGAGAAGACTTGGTGGTTTATGGTTCTGACAGAAAACATGAGACTGCCAAACTTAGAAAGCATCAGAAACCTGAATTTTATTATTAAAATGTGCATTTTGATCTAAAATATGAAAAAGATCTTTCCTTGTAGCATTTCCCAACACTGAATGCAGCATTAAAATGATTTTCTTTCTCTTTTCCACCAACTATAAGCTTCTGTTTCCTACCCTGGGCATCTGAATCTTTTATTTGCTCCAGTTCTATTCACTGCCTGTTATTCAGACATTGAAATCCCAAATGTTAATTGTTCTTCCAAGTACATTGACAAAACAGCAGCTAAATAAGGGTAGAGCAGACTGTGGTAGACTCTGACATGCATTTATGGAACAATGGGGCTCTGAGAGACAGCCTTGTAGCTCACGGGAAGACATAAGATGTGCTATTTTGACTGTTTCATAGCAGAATGGGGAACACACGCACACAAGGGAATTATGCATTTTTACTTAGGTTTGCCCAAAATCTTCAAGGCTATAGAATCTTGTGATGTCATCATGAACTTTCCATTTCCATTGACACAAAGGCTAAAAATGTCTCGTGACATCACCAAAGAAAACGAAATCTACTTTGATTCAAAAGAATTCTTTTACCTCCTAAGGTTCTGGTATAAAAATGCACAAATCTTTCCACACAGGGTGTGTGTCACTGTTCTGGTGCACAGTGGGCGACGCCCTCCCTAATGAAATTCAAACCTGCCAAAAGAAAGGTTTCATAATTTCAAGGGAATAAAATACACCCTGAAACATCAAGCGCAATAACTTCTGAAAAGGAAATCATTTCAGGATATATTTCTTCAGGGACATTCAGATTCTCCCTGTCTGGTTACTATGATAGCAGCGGTTCTGTCCCTTTGTGGGCTGGCCATAGAAACACAGAGGAAGACACAGGAAGCTCCCACTTACAGGAACACAGTGCAGCTCAAGCTTTTGTTTTTAAGGTGCAGTGATTTCAGTCTTGAAATGTAACTTCAGGCAGTCTGAAAAGAAACAGGTTAAAATCTCTTTCAGTTATAATTGGTATTTCAGATTTAATTAAAAATTAAACTTTCATAATGTTTCCTCATCCAAAGCAATGCATTACCAGTCAAGCGGAGCTTTTTTATCCCTGTTAAGGGGGAAAACGAAAGAAAGAAAGGAAAAAAAAAACTTTTCCCAGAGTAGTTTCTTAATGAAAATAAAAGTATCTAAAAGAGGAAACAAAGGTAATTCTGAAAAGAAAAATCTCTCTCCATGTTAAGGATTTCATAGTGGTATGGCCACAAAATTACTATGGTGAATTTAGTTACAATATAAGTAATTTAAAGAAAAATATCCTAAAGAAAAATTTTACTATCCAAAGGGTATGACAGAACATTGAGATCATAGGACAACATGGAAAAATCCATGGATCTGCATATCCATGTTGAAGGAAAATTATGACTTCAAGCAACTGAGAAAACACTAACCTGTAGTTTCAAATGATTGACCTTTGGGGGCACAGTTAGTAACACAAAATGCAAAATGGCTACTGCATTATATTATGGGCTGTCTGTGCCCAACTTAACATCAAATTATACTTCCTATACCATACTGTCACTAGTGTAACACAAAATCATAAGGATTTTATTGAGACATCCTGATTTAACTGTCTGGTTAAAACAAAACAAAACAAAACAAAACAAAAACAAATCTTTAATCTTCAAAATAAGAGTCCAGGCATTCAGATCTCCAGTAGTGTCCCAAAACTTTGGGCTTAAAACATCCTACTGTTTCTTTTTCAATCTTTTATAGAAACACCATCTTCTACAAATACTAGTAATAAAAGAATCACACACATACTACATTAAGTCATTCCTATTTTTAGCTTCAAATAACTAACACATTAGTGTTTAGAAAAAGATATTTTGAAATGCAAAGTGGAACTATTATAATTATCTTCTTTATTTTACTTTACAACAGTATTTTTAATATATATTTGTTGCCCTGATTGTGGTAGGTTTATGTCTGACCCTCACATAATACAAAGTAATATTTTAATATTTCCACATGAGATCATAATCATAAATCACCCCTGAAATTGCACCTATTATTAGAAAATGCATCTGGTTCTCTCTTGTAAATCCTGTTTTCCTTTGAAATATATGGAATAATAATTTGAGCAATGTGTCTATTTGATGTACATACATTTTAAATGCAAACTTGCTCATAATTCATACTAAATCCACCCATGAATGGGATTAGATTTTATATAAAAAATACTGACTTACTAAACTTTTCCTCTGCTTCTTGAATGCTTGAATTAGACTTAAAATGCACCAGTGTAAAGACAGAAATTATGGAGGCGTCACCAGGGACAACTGAATGAGAGGAGGGGAGAGCACATATATCCTTATAAGGCAACCAAACATTCATGAAAGACACTGACAAAAATAACTGTGCTCAAAATTTTTATGGAATAACAATAACCCCTGATAAATGATTCAGAAATATAAAAAGTGTCCGTTTCTAGATAAATCTGAATCACAACTAGTATTGTTCTCACCAACAAAATGTGGTCAGTGAAACTGTCTTACTATCCAGCTTAGACAAGAAAAGGTGAGAGAAATCAGATTGAATATACATATGTAAACTATTTAACAGACAACTAGCAGTTCCTCAAACCAGCAGACGTGGCCCAAATGAAACTATTCAAAATCATAGTTCGTTGTGAACAGTCAGCATTAAGTCATGTACACCCTCCCTCCCTGTCCTCTTGGACTAGCTTGCTTCTCCATCTCTGCCTGCTTATCCCTCTGTCTGTCTCTGTCTCTCTTCCTCTCTCTGGTGAGGGTAATGAAGCTCAAAAATAACATCTTGTATCCTGTTGAGGGAAACTTGGTCACAACTATCCTTCCAGATGACAAACTCATTCTTAAATGTCTGTTTCTCCAACCAAAGAAAACAGAGCAACTGAGAAAATAGACATAGCCTCACTTACACTCCCAACACCACTACTTTTAATCCCTGTGCTGCATTCATCAAAAGGAGGACTGAAGTTTATTCACATTATGCCTAACCTCAAACAAGACCACAAATAAGCCTAATAATGGACCGTTCTGTGGCACTCAGGCAAACGGCTGGGCAAAACAGATGGATCTTGCTTTGCGCCAGGACTCAAAAAATACAGTCGCCAACTCACTGTTGGCGACTACATATCTTGGCCCAAAGATGGACCTGGAAGTCGGACCAGTTGTCTTTGATATGAATACTGCTCCTCTTCATTGCCACATGAACAAACCATTAACTCTCTCACTGAGCAGTAGGGCACAATATTAGAGCGAAATTGCTTGAAGGCAGGTCATTAAGGAGAGTGCAATACTCTGAGGGCACACTAAGATTGAGGAGCAGAAAATTAGGGCAGGGCCTTATTGTAATAAGCTGTAGCCCTTCTCTCTGCTTTTCAACTTCGAACTTTCATGTTCCAAACTACATGGAACCCACCTTTAAAATAACCTACGAAGCATGTGTTATCAATAAGAATAAATTTCTTCTGACATATCAGTTTCTCCTATCTTTTAAAAAGTTAATCTTAGGCAGTAGTAAAATTAACATCAGTGGTATATGTTCTAATAAGAATAAAACTATAAGGATTTATAGATCATAATCAATATTCAATGACACAGTGAGGTCAGTGTAAATTACAAAGCCCAGAGAAGGATTCTCTCTGCACATATCCTTCAGGAAAATAGCTCTGTACTTTGCACTAGATGCTTTTAAAGATTCCAAGAAGCAGCAAGGACCCTTTTCTACAATTTTCAGGGTCACAGATAAAGACCTTAGTCAAACAACAAAAACCATGAAGAATAGTGAAACAACACGGATTGTAGGAACAACTGAGTAGGAACAAAGATGGCTTCTGACCATTCTACCTCATTTTAAAATCCTCATTTAGACAGGAATTGAGACATCAGCTTACAACTGGGCCACCAGGCTTCACGGAAAGAACAAGACATACTTCAGTTCAGGAGGTCTGTTACCTCAAGCACTTCTCCTAATGTTCTCCCAAGTATTCTGCTCTGATTTAATCTTGCATGTTCACTAAATCTTTTATGGCTTATTAACTTTGACACTGTACATATCTGATTCTTATGTGACTGTGGTCAGCATAAAATGCTAATAGTGAAATTTGTTTTTCAATTTTCCTTTTGAAAAAATATTACGAAAATTTCAAACATGTGGAAGAGAAAAATGCACAGTGAGTGGGTTCCGTCCACTCCTAACATACTCAGTTTCTACATATTCTCCTTATCAGTTTTCCTTCCACCAGGTTATAAAAGACAATGCCAGATAACATATCACTCACCCATAGAGACTTTAGTATGCATTACTAAAAGATAACTTTTTATAAATCTAACTGACCTTTTTCACACCAAAAATAAAATGACTCTTTAATGTTAGTAAATGTTCTGGTGATGTCAAATAATAGATAGTACGATTCTTCCACTAGTATATTTCTTCTTTTGCAAGAATCCCATTCAAAATGTCAAACTTTACGGCTGTGCCATGTGCACTCAGTGTTTCTGGTCTGTGACAATTTTTGTTTTCCTTTACCTTAACAGTTTTGAACAAGATCAAATACTTCATGTTCTGTTACTGAACTAATACTGTCTATTAATTTCTCATAAATACACTGAAATTACGACTTTCAGAGATGCATACAAAAAGATTTATTATTATAATACTGGGCACTACATTCTGTCAACCTGACATGTCACTGAGGATATTAACCTTGGTTACTGGTTACAAGGTATCAGCCATTTTTCAGTTTTAATAAACATTTTTTATTTTATCACTATATTGAAGCATAATTTATAGGACATATTTCTGCGTCCCATGTCCTGTTACTGTGACAAGAAACACTGACAAAATCAACTTAAGAGAGAAACGGTTTATTCATCTTACAATCCCATGTTACAACTCATTATCACATGGGAGTCGAAGGAGCAGGAAGTTGGAATAGCTTGTCACAGTACATCCACAGACAGGAACACTGAATCAGTGCATGCATGCCAGCACTAAGCTCTTTTTCTCTCCATTGCATTCACCACGGGGCCCAGCCCATGATATGGTACAGTCCAAATTCACAGTAAGTCTTTCAAACTCAATGACCTCAATTCAGAAAATCCCTCACAGGAATGACCTCAGGCCTACCTAATCCAGAGACTATCTCACTGATACTCATTTCCAGGTGATTTTACATTGTGTCAAGGAGACAAGAAAAATAATGTCTTTATCACAACGTATTTATCCTTCCTATCAATAATCTTGAGTAAATCCAGAGGTATGCAACCATAAACACAACCCAGTTTGGGAATATTTTGTCAAATTAAACTTCCCTTCATATATTTTAGCTAAAGAGTGGAATTTGTATAGTGCAATCACATTTTTAAAGTCCATTTGTCAGCTAATGCACATTAAAGGCAGTTTCCATCTTTTGCATATTATAAATAAAATTGTGTAAACATTCATTATGTGCAAGTCTCTATGTGGATATATTTTTTTCATTTCTCTTTGGGATGCACTGAGAAGTGAAATTTTTAGATTCTCTGATACGGTTTATTTTAGTTGTTAAGAAGTTTCCAATATTCTGAAATAAACTATTAAATTTTGCAATCACATGAGCGGGGTAGGATTTCTCCACATCTTCATGAATACATTTTTACCGCATTTAAAAAAAAAAAAACAAAATTATAGCTACTATAGAAATGTGAAGGGGTACCTTCTGGTTTAAGTTTACTTTTCCCTAAGGTTACAATGTTGAGTATCTTTTCCTGTGTTTATTGCAATTCCTATTTCTTCATTAGTGAAATATCTATTCAAAACATTCATATTGTAAATTGGATTCTTTACCATACTATGGAATATTTCATTATATATTATAAGATAATTTATGATTTATAAATAACATTAGCAATTATAATAAATTGATTCGTAAATCTATTCAAAATTTATAGCTGTT